GCAGTGGAGCACACCACACCCAGTCCGAGGAGAGCATGGAGTTGAGCCTCCAGGAGCTGGGGGCAGGGGCTGCTGGGAGGAATAGCCAGGGAAGGCTCCCCAGGGTAAGCAGGACAATGCCCTGAAGAGTTTGGTGAATGGAAATGGGGTGGAAAATCCTCCACCCCAGACCATAAAACAGCATCTGTTGGCCGGAAGGAGAAGGATGAGGTCTTCAGCTGGCAGAGTCAGATGGCCCAGGGGTTGGGAGAGTGGGCTGGCTCCCCTACTCTCCAGAAGCAGGCTACTATCCACCTGCTCCTGGAGGCCTCACCTTGCTGCCCTAGCCACCTGCCAGAGGCTGTCCACTACTGCCCAAGCCCTCTTGGCACCAGCAGGCTACCCTGTGGACTTCAGGAAAGTCAGGCGGTCTTTTTCTGGAGGGAAGTGACAACCTCAGTTAGGTCTGCCCAGGGCTCCCAGGAGACAGTGCAGGAAAAGGTACTTTTCTAAAAAAGTTTCTACTCCCCCCCCATCCTGATGCCTTCCTTGAGGTTTTGGGGGGCTTCCCTGGGGACTGGCAATGGCCCACCAACTTGGGAACATCATTAATCTCTGTGAAAGTGCCTCAGTTTCCTCATCTCAAAAAGGAGCAGGAGAACCCTTGGCTCAGTGTGCAGGGGAAATGGGAAGACAGGGCTGGGCTGGAGCTAGTTTCACCTCCTGATTGGCATAGGCTTCCTGGGAGCCCTGGGATGCTATGAAACAGGGCTGGGCATCCAGACAGGACTTCTGTGAACCTGGAAGGAGGAAATGGAAGTGAAAATGCTTTTGTGACCTGGGTGACAGGTCATCCTATCCATTCAGGGCAGGCAGGAGACCTGAGGATGGGTGAGGTGTCCTCCTGAAGTGGCCAATCAATTTGGGGGTGAGGCTCCATCCCAGGTAGGTGATGGGTCCTCTCAGAGAGGGCAGGGCAGCCTTGGTGGCTGTCCTACCTGGGCCATAACATCAAGGTAGCTTTTAGCCTGCTGCCCTCCTGCTATTGCTGAGCCCTCACTGAGGCCCCTTGGCCCATGGATGAGGAATGAAGCCTGAGCACTAAAGGAAGCTTCATCCTTCCCTATGCCCTTTCCCACCCCTGCCTCTTCTGCTCAACCTTCTGACTCTGCCCTCCTGCCTGGCTTCCCAAAACAAAAGGGTTTTCATTGCACCTAGGAAAATTTGCAATTTTTGTACATATTGCATATGTACAAACTCTCTCATACACCTTAGAAGTATTCCTACAGAAGAAGAAAAACATTTAATCTCACTACCACATGCATTTTTTTCACTTTTATTGAAACGTTTTCAAACATATAAATACATAGAATAATATGTAATGAGGTCATGTGTAGTCATGCATTTGTGTAATTCCAGCACTCAGGAGGCTGAGGCAGGAGGATCATGAGTTCAAGAGCAGCCTAGTTTACACAGCAAGACCCTGTTTTGAGTTAAAAAAAAAAAAGAATTGTGTATTGAACATGCAAATACCCACTTCTAGATTTGACAATTGCTAACATTGAACAGTTAATAGTTACATCATTTTCTTTTTTTTTTAGCTAATGTACTTTAGCCAATTATAGATATCCTGACCTTTAACCCCAAATTATTTCAAAATGCATCTCCAAAACCAAAGAACATTTTTCCTATATAACTATATTTCCTATAACATATTTTCCTATAACATGTTTCCTGTATTCCCATATCATCACAACTAAATTTGAATATTGGTTTTCTTCATGTCTATTATTCAAATATTCCCCAGCTACATTTAACAAGCACCACCAGGTGAGTGGTGACATTTTCAGGTGTTCTTCTTTCCTATCTGTGTCTGATGGGACATGGGGTGCCTTGGCAGTGAGCATCTGGCTGGGCTCCAGTTTTACATACATCCCCTCTTGTATGGCACAAGATATGAGTGTCCCTATCTTGCAGGAAGTGTCTCCTCCTATCTAACTTCAAAACAAGTTCTTCCTGCATAGCAGGCCATGAGAGGAGGGGAAGAGGTCTGTGTACCAAGGACTGGCAGCCTAGTGCCTCCCTGTGTTGATGTCTGACTCTCCTCAAGTAGTTCCAACATTGGCATTGCTCACAGACACCCACCATGTTTGTAAACTGGGTCCTACAAATCCCACTTCCCCAGGGGTACCCAGGCTGACTTTCAAGGGGCACTGGGTTTAACCTGAATACTTGTCCTAAAAGGCTTCATGACCCAAAGGAATGCTTCCAAGAAGTGCTCTGATATGGAACAGGCTGAATGTCTTTGCTTGGATTTGCTGATTATGAGAGCCCTTGGTCTAGTACCACTCTGAGCTCTGGAAAGTTCTTTTTCCCTCCAAGTCCGAACTTGTATCCCTAGATCTCTCCTTCTTCCTCTCTGCACCCTCAAAACACATGAACACACACTCACACAACCAATTCTCATTCTACCCTTCTGCCACCCAGAGCTCAGTCTTCCCCAGGAGGAGGTATGGTTTTCAAAATGTGGATTTTCAGAGAAGCGAGGTTTTGGGTTATTAGCAAAGGGATATAAAAATACAGGAAGAAAAGAGAAATCAGATGTAGTAGGGGGTGAAGGTACTCAAGTCTTTCTGATAGTTAGGGCCTCCACTTGTCAGTGGGTAGGACATTCAGAATACCTGGGCTTTCACAAAGCATTAGGGCCAGGACGGGGCCAGCCTGGCATGGGGGCTGGTCTGAGGCTTTGCAATATGCTAACCTTACAGGCAATCCCTTACTGCCAGGTTGGAGTCTTTTCCATGGGACACTCGACACAATCTTAGAAGTTGATGGTGCTGTTGCTGTCTCTATCTTATATATGTGATTGGGGCAGTCACCCAAGGTCACCCAGCCAGGAAGTAGCAGATGATCTGATTGTGGACCCAGTGGTCTTAACTAGGCTCTACTACCTTACTAAGAGGCGTTACTTCTTCCAGAGGGACTGTGGTGTAACCCATGCTTCCCTGAGACTTTAGTCTAATGAAGTGACAGCCCAATGAATTGTCACATTTGTGTGCACAGGTGTGGCCACCGCCCAGGTCAAGCTATTACACATTCCCATAGTTGCAGCAGGCTCCCTCGTGTCCTTTCACAATAAGATGAGGTCTTATCTCTACTTACTTTACTGCCCTCTGCAGAGTTGGGAGTGTGTTTCCCTCATCTGTGACTTCTGGATTCCACACTGACCTTACCTTCCCATGTCCCCACCCTTCCCTTCCTGCCCTTTTCTCCTTGTGTTCCTTCTCTCCTCTGCCCTGTGCCTCTATCTCTTTCAATTCAGACACAAAAAGCAAAACATGAGCTCCTGTGTGCTTTTGATCACACTGTTTTCTCTCTGGGTCCTCAGTTTCTCTCTGTGTTTATTGCTGCATGATTTGGGGGGGTGGGGAAGGAGGTAAATAAACCTTGGGATGTGCAATGCTTTCTTTCCAGTGCTAGAGTAATGGGAGAGAGAGATGGTAGATGGGACCACTCTCGAGTGTCCTGCCCTGTGCTGCCCATTCTTCTACATCCTCTGTTGGTCCCAGGCAGGAGACAAGAGCCCTACTTTGACAAGCCTCAGTAGCAAGAATCATCCACAGTGGCTCCTGGTGCTTGGCAATCTGCAGATGAGAAATTCTTTTTCCTAACTCACCTAATCTATTTTATGTTCCCCTCAGAGACCAGATGCCCCTCAGAGAGAATCACATGCCACGGTGCTCCCCACACTTACAACCTGAGAGGTATTTGCAAAATGTGTGTCTCATTCTCCTGGTCCAAACCTTTGAAACTCTACCGTAGCCTAGGATTTCACACTTCACAAGTGGCTTTCAAGGCCTTTCCCAATCCCACCCCTGCCTGATCTCCTAACCTGTCTCCTGATGCACCCAGAGCTCACCACAGCTGCTTCTTGCCACCCTGAACGCAGTAGAAATTTTTGTGCCATCCTGATTGAGTATACACTGCTCCTGCTTTCTGGGATGCTCTTATTCCACCTCTAATTGTCTAAGTCTTAAATATGCTTTCTGACTCCCTCTATTACCTATTCTGTTTAAAGCCCACACTGCAACTATATCCCTCGGTGGAGCCCTTCTTGTGTTGGTAGGCTTGTCTGTATTGGCTAGGGAATTTTCCAACTCTTTCTGTGTGCCTGGATTCCAGAGGGATAATGAGGATGATTAGAAAAAGGAAATAAGTGCAAGAGGAAGTCCAAAGTCTGCCTGAATTCCTCAGTGATAAGGGTTAGAGGGAGCTGCCTTGTCCCTGGCCCTGTCCTCTGAAGGGCAGTGGTTGACCAGATGGCTTAATGCAAAGCTATGGAAAAGAATTGATGCTGTCCAGACCAGTGGCCAGAGACTCAGGCCTGTCTGGGAATGTGCATTTTCTGGATGACCTCAGGTCCCTCTTTGGGTCTCTATTTCCTCTACCCTTCTCTAGATGAGCTAAATCACTCAATTAAACTGTGACAAAGACTGAGTTTGTCTTTCTTCCCTCTCTTGATTCAGAGCCATCCTGGGCTCTTGTGTTACACTGGGGGCTCTCATGCCCATCCATCTCTCCTCTTCAAACTGTTTCTCAGGAAGTACTCAGTGGCTATACTTCTGAAGGAGTAGAATTGGCTGGAGAAGTTGATCCAACATTCTTCTGCCCTCTGAGAATGGCAGACAGATGTGGTTAGGAACCCAAGGTCTCCACAGTGATTGAGAAAGAAATATCTCTTGGCAAATTGTGTGGCCATAATCCCTAAGATGAACTGGAAAATGAGGGCATCCATTGTCCTGTCAGCAGACCACAAGGCTGGACACTTAGTTACAGAGACAGAAACTTTAACTGGCTTAAGTCCCAAATTAAAGATACTGCTTATGTGAGAAGCAATGCTGGTTTCAGACAGAGCTGTGATCAGGGCTCAAGCAATGTTAAGATGATTTTTCTCCATCTCTTTGTTCTTCCTTCAGTTGTGCAGCCTTTGTTATTGTGTTCTACTTGTCAACAAGTAGCAACAGTGCTGGCTGCAGCAGAAGCATTGGCTCCTGCATCCTTTGAGTTTTCCAATCCAGTGGGGAAAAGCAAATCCACTTGCCCAATAGCTTAATCCAGAGTCCCAAGAGCGAGTCTTCTGGCTCAGGGTAGCCTGACTTTGGCCATGTGCCAGGCACTGTGGCTGGAAATGGTCTGATTGACTTTAGCCCCCTGGAAGAGGATTCACCAGAACCCTACCTAGGGAAGAAAGAGGTTCCCAGATGAGGACTTGGCACCAGAGGAAAGGCAAAAATAATGAAATGCTGAAACAACAGAAGTCCACCACCTCCTTCTGCTTTCCTGTTGCAGTGTGACAGGAGGTAAGAATGGACAGGAGAATGAAGAGAGGCTGGGAAGAGACCAGTAGAAATAACCCTGTTGTGACAGACAACAGGGCCAGGAAGGTACCTAGGGAAGAAGGGTTCTCTAAGAAAAGAAAGATAGACAAGTGATAGGATGAATACAGCTCAGGATGGCCAGTCCCTGGGTTCTTCTTTCAGAAAGGTCATCTCTGGGATCCTCTTAGCCACCCTTCTCCCCATACCTGAGGATGAACCAGTCACAGATTCCTTAGACCACATCACTGCCAGCATTTCAGCCTAAGCAACCTTTGTGGAAAAGAGGAGAATCCATGATCCCAAGGAGGACATTGGTGTAAAGTTTCCTTTAAGTCTACTGTCTTTTCTTTAGCAGTTGTACAGATAACTGTATCCTGCTCCATGATAGATCTGTGTTGCTGTTTTCTTTGTTTATTTTGAAGGTCTCATCATAGCCCAGGCTGACCTGGAACTTCCCAAATGCTGAAATTAAGGAGTACACTTCTATGACCAACTCCATGTTACTTTCAATATGTCAACTTTTAATGATTTACCAGCTCATGTCTTATTAGCTGGCTGGCAAAGTTGATGGTCCAAGATGGGACCCACATTCACTGTGTGCCTTCCAGGCCAGTGCCACATAGGTAGGTGAGGTCTAGATGCTAGGAAGGTGTGAAAAGTGTCCTGGACAAAGAGGCCTTCACTTGGACCTGAGCTAGGTCAGCTTGGTGCTAGTGGCAAAAGGGAAAGTTAGGTTACAAGCAACCTGTAAGACAGTGAGGTTCACAAGAATGAGAGTTGTTGGAGTATGTGGCCTGTTAGGCACTCAGTTGACCAGTCTCTGCTTGGACCCCTCTCCCTCAATGGCAATGGAGAGCTCCCTGTCACCTGGGGTACATATCCATCACTGAGGCTGATTTACATAAGTAAATGGTCAAAGTGTGATGTTCTTTGATGCCTGTAGGCCAGGCAGGGATCCCCTAGAAGGAGGGAAATGAAGGGAAGCCCCCTACTTTTGTTGTCCCCTGTGGACTAGCTTTGTGAAACCTTTAAGTAAACAGGACAGGAGGTTGTGTCCCACTTTGACTACACAGAGAGAAACTGAGGCCCAGGAAGGTAAGGACCCTGCCCCAGGATGGGATGATTTGAAGCAGACACTGAGAATCCCTGACACTGTAGAGATCTTGCTGGACCCTACTCTTCCTTAGAGGCCTTCACTTTCCTTCCTCAGTCAAGAACTCCCAAAACCTGAATTTTTTTCTGGTTGATCCTAGTTAGCCCTCACCTCTGTTCACATCTGCCCCAGTGCCTGCATGCCTTGTCACACTGTCTGCCCTCCCCACCCTGCTTCCTGGCCAGAGCACCATGGAGGATGGGGAGAAGCCTGGGCTTTTCCATTTCTTCTCCCCACCTTCCAGAGGCAGAGGAGGCCTAGTACAATGTCAGTATGTCCTAGAGTGCTGTCTCTTACTTCCTTAAACCTCCCCAGCCTTGATATAGCTTGAATTATTCAGAAGCTAAGAAGGAGAAGGTGAGGTCCCATGAGCTAGGGACTGACAAAGGCACCTACAATGGGGAAAGATGTTAGAAAATGCAGCCAACTCCTGGATTCCTCCCAGGCCTGGCTCCAGGCTGCAGGCCCAGATCCAGGTCCCCATAGCAGGGTAGCACAAGCTGGACCCTACCTGTCTGGCAAGACTGAGTCATGGACAGGGATCCCCATGTCAAGCGAGAGCGACAGAAGCCAGTGGGCCAGCTCAGGGCTCTAAGGAGAAGCTCTCTCACTTCTGCTCAGGGTTGTGCTGTAGACAGATCTAAGTTAGTACAGCAGCATCACTATTAGGGGAGCCACCAAGAAGCCATGGGAGTGTCCTCAAGGCAGACTTGCTTTGGGAACAGTGGACAACAGTTTGGAATCAGATCCAGGTTAAGATCACGGTTCGGTCTGTGGCTTGGATGAGTTGGGATGGGGATTCAGCATGGAACCTACGTCCCGCCCAGGGCAAGGTCAAGATCAGTCCCACGGCTGGCTCCTGTTGGCCCCATATTCCTAGAGTCTGAATAAGAGATGAGCCATGGATTATGCTGACAGGACCTTGCTGTCTCTGTCCCCAGGGTGGCCAGGCAGCCAGGTTGCAGCAGGAGTGTGACTATCTGCACATGATCGAGGTACAACACAGGCAGTGCCTGGAGGAGGCCCAGCTGGAGAACGAAACAACAGGTGAGGCCCCAGTGGGAAGATAGGAGCCGCAGGCCCCACAAAAGTCCATGTTTCAGGTCCAAGTCACATTCATTCCATGTTTGTGTATGGGGACCAAGGGTACGAATCACATAAGGAGCTGCTGGGTGCTGGGGAGAAGATGAGAGATCAGACAGAAGGATGAACAAGTCTTGTGTTCTCATCACCCCATTCCAGGTCTCGGGAGCTCCCAGCTGTCAGCTGGAGACAACAGCTGATTCTAAAAAATGGTGGAGCCAATTCTGCCTTTGTGGGTCTGTAAAAAGTGGAGGTAATACCCACGGCTGCCTGTTCACCCAGTATGGATGCTGTGTAGTCCACAAGCCTATGGACAATGAGATAGGATCACCCCAGCCCAGCCCAGATTGGGGCTGGAGTCACACCCTGGCAGGAGCTGTCTTAAGTCAGCTTTCTCAGCCCCTGACATGCTTGGGGCCTTGAATGCCACATTGCAGAATTAGATCATTGTTCTGTTCACATCTCCTAGCAAGAGCAGAGGTGCTCAGTCACAGAATGCAACATCATAGGGACTACATGGGAGCTCAAACCCATCTTGGCAGTCCAGAGCAAGAAGGGACACCAGGCTGTCTGGATATGTCAGTTTCACCTCAGGGGGGAAACCGAGGCCCAGCTCCTTCCTCCCAACTCTGGAGTCTGCTACTGCAGAGGACTTATAAGAGACACTGTGCACTTACACACAGGCCCCTAGGCCCACACAGACACACATGCCGGTCTCCGCACCCCAACCAGTGGAAAGTCAAGGTCAGAAAGTCAAGATTAGCCTCCAAAGCTGAGCACATGCTGATCCTCCTCAGGGGGTCTGAGAGATCTTGGCCTTGCAAGGTGAAAATTGGCACCAAACTGACTGGACACAGAGGCAGGGCCATCAGGACACATGAGCCAGATTTGGCACATTGGGAGAAGAGAAGGTGGGAGGCACTGAGACAGACTGCCTACAGGGTAGAGGATAGTAGCAAGCCCAAGGTACACCAAGGAAGAGGGCTGGCACATCAGGACTGAGGCAGGAAGGCAGCTGTGCCCGTCCTGGGCTTCCATCCCAGGTCACCCCCCTAAAGCTGGGCTTATAGTTATATAACAGCCTTGCTCAGGAGTCTTGCTGGCTCCCCGGCTCCCTGCACTTCTCTAAGGCTGACAGTCTGTAACCCTCCTGGGCCCAGCCCTTCTGCCTCCTTCATCCATAGTGAATATGTATAGCCCCACTGTGGGCCTTGTTCATAAGTCTCAAGGCGAGATGACACCCTGTCTCCTGGAGCCCTGAGACTGAGGCCTGCGTCGTGGGGTAGCTGGACCTGCCCACTGTCTATATGCCCCACCCCACCCTGCCAGTGTGGGCAGGCAGGGCTAGACTGCAGACAGGCTTCAGCAGGCCTCAGGATCATGGGCAGGCCTGAGAGGCCCAGACCCCAGACTCTAGGCCCCACTTCATTTCCTTTCCAGCCTCAGTGGCAGGCCACCCTCGTGATCCTGATGAGGTCACTGCTGGCATCAGGTGCCTGTTGAATGCCAACACCCTGTCACTCGGCAGCCAGCCTGGGATGTGGAGGAGGGCAGGCCTGGGTCTGTGGACTGTGGATTTGCCCATTACCTTGTACAAGGATGTATGCATGTTTATACACATTCAGGTGTGCACTGTGGCCCACGTCTGTCTGGGGCTGAGTCTGTCATTCTGGGGTCTGCTGATCTGTCTGACTCTGGGTATCTCTGAGTTGGGGACATGTCTGCCTGGTGTGTTGTGTCTCTCATGTCAGTTTGTGAGTGTGTTCATCAGTGTGAATGTCCATGGTCCATCCAGATGAGTCTGTCTCTGTGCATGTCTGTCTTGTGAGTTATCTGTCTCTCTGTGCCCCCTTGCTTGTGTCTGGTGTTTCTTTGTCTTTGTATGTATGTTTGCATGTGTGTCAGTGTGCCTGGGAGTACATGAGTATGTGTCTCTATATGCAGGAAATTTTATAAAAATGACACAGCAAGGGCTAGTGCCTGGTTCAAATGGTAGAGTGTCTGACTAGCAAGTATAAAGCCCTGGGTTCAAATCCTCGTATCACCAAAAAAAAAGTCCCCCACACCACTCTGCCTTGTCATCCCTCATCTCAGGCTGTTGGCTGGGCTTTCCTATTAGGGTCACAGCCCCCAGTGGGCACCACAGGCAACACTCCTAGGCTATGTGCCATTTCAGATACCAAAAGCTATCACCTCACCATTGCTTCCCCAGCCCTGCTGCCCCAGCAGACCAACACTTCCCTGCCTCCTGCAAGGAGCTTCCCTTGTGGCCTTACTTCCCTGGTCCCCTTGCCTGCTGGCTGACCTGTGCCCAGCACAGGTTCACAGCCTAGCCTTGGTTGTGCTGAGACTCCTTGAGGCCAAATGCAGCCTCGCCAAGGTCAGGGCTCAGTCTTTCTAAGACAGCCCTCTTAGGTGGGCTCTGTCCCACCCAAGCTCAGGGCCAGAAACCCAACCCCAATCCACTTCCCAGCCTGGGCCATCTGGCAGTGACCCAGACACAAAAGCTGGCTTGCAAAACAGGGTGTGCCTAGCACTGTCAGAGAGAGGTAAACAAAGTCCTACAGCAGCAGAATGCCCAGACAAACGGCATGGAGCCCTTCAGATCAGGAGAGGGAGTGAGTAATAGGCTACGCCACTCACCAGCATTGTGACCTCAGGCATGCTGCTTCAGTTTCCTCATCTGTGAACTGAAGGGTTAAATAAGTTATTCATTTAAAAGACTAGAACCATGTCCTGCATGAACTAGGGCTGCATAAGTGTTTGGTGATATTATTAAAAGGGTCTTAAACCACAAGCAGGATTTTACTGGTCTGAAGGACCAGAGAGGCTGGCCTGAGAACAAAAGAGGGACTAGTGGCCAGAGTGAGGTCACAGGACCCTCAGGATAGCTTGGGATGGAAGTGCTTGGGGTGCACAAGAAGGAAAGCTGTACTCCGTGACCAGGCCCCAGGAATCTTGGTGTCTTCCTCAGCCTTTGGCTATAGGTGCCACCTGACTACTGCAACCCCAGAAGGTACCCACCCCTGTCACCCAACTGCCCTCCCTCCATTGTTACCCCACGGCAGCACTGAGAGCCCCAAGCCTCTTCCCCAAGTGGGGACATCCCTCCACCTCCTCTTCCCAGGACCCCTTCTTGGGAACTCATGAACCTTCGGACCTGGGCTGGGCTGGGCTTGGCCCAGCTGGCGTTGACTTTGGCTCAGGGGTTGGGTTTCCTGATCAAATCTATGGGTCTCACAGCATTGCAGAGACAATTAAGCCTCCCTCAGGGGAGGGGGTCTGGAGGAGTTCTAGTCCCTCAGGGGCACCCTGCTCCTGAAGAGGAAAAACATGGCATTTATATCTGTCTAGTAAAACAGAACCCGTGAGACACCCCCACTCTCATGCACCCCTTGCCAGACAGGCTCTGCAGGCCAGTAGCTATGCAGTCGAGCCCACAGCCCATGCTGCAGGCTTCTGACACCCCACCACCATTCACAGCCTCACTAAGGTGGTGACTTCTGTGTTGCTTTGCCTGTTTTGCAAAAACTCTACTTCAAGAACTAACGGCCCCCAGTATGCTCATCACCCCATCATACCCAACATCTTCTAACAACAATCTCTAAGCCTCTTTTACCATTATAAAATGAAATTCAGAAAATATGCATACTTATTTTTTTAAATGATGGTCTATAATAAGCCCTCTTGGGACAAGTCTTGCTTTTTGAACTTGTGATCATAAAAGCTTCCTTGGTGTCAGGAAAGCAGAATCGATCAGCATTGCTGAAATGCTTAAAACTATTGCTGGTAATTTTGTACTATAAATTTTGAAATCTAAATGTCTGTTTTCTTACAAATCATAAAAATAAAGGCCACACATTGTGCTGCCAAAAAAAATACATGCTGTTCTAGCTGCAATGTAAAAGAAAAACAAAAGGAAAGTGATTTATGATAAAATGCTGTGTGCATGTTCTGGCATGATTGCACCAAAAGATAAGAAGATATAGTCTGAAGGTTGAACCTATAAATATGAGTCCTGGGAATGTGAGAGCTATAAATGCAGATTGATATATGCAGTTGGTTGAATCACTGACTCAAATCTCACAGGCAGCATTGCTATAGGTGACATGATTTTCCAAAACTTTGAACAATTCTTACTAAAGTTCAGAAGAAAACAAAGCAGTCTTCTTTCCCTTTTCTCAGTGGTTGCATTCCTGAAGAACTCCACGTATGTTAGACCTGTGCAGAACATATCTGGGTTTATATGTAAAAGGGAGCAAGAGTGTAAGATGGGGCCATTGCAAAAGGTTTCCACCCACATAAATGCCCAGTGGCTCATCTCAAATTCATGCAGAATGTGAGACAAATGCATCACTGAACAGGACCATTCAGGTCACCTGCCTCCCATCCCCACTGCCTGCCTGTCAAATGCCAGGTGAGGCCCCTTTCCTGCATCAAACAAAACCCCGACCAATGTTCAAAACACTCCCAAGGGTGCTCTCAAGACAGGATCTGGACAGCCAGGGCAGGCTCTGTCTCCCCTCAGACTGCGCCCTTGAGGGGGCAGCCTGGTAGGAGGAGGAAGAGGGTGGGCTTTGTGGGCTCAGGCCCCAGGGCTGACCTGTTGACCCATGTGTCTGCCTTCACTCCACAGGCTGCAGCAAGATGTGGGACAACCTCACCTGCTGGCCGGCCACCCCTCAGGGCCAGGTGGTCGTCTTGGCCTGTCCCCCCATCTTCAAGCTTTTCTCCCCTATTCAAGGTAAGATCTCTGGGCTGAAGGAAGGAAAACAGGTGGTGAGCATGGGGCCTGCTGGAGTGGACACTTCCCTCTCAAGGAAATGGGAAGGCAAAGGAAAGTGATCAAAGGCTTAGAATAATCCTGGGTCTTCCTGGCAGAAGAGGCAATGGCACCAGGTCTCTTGAAGAACACATGGGTTTGATTAGCTCTTCACATAAAGATAAGCAGGTGGGAAAGGCTCACTAAATATTTGCTCAAAAATTGATAACTGATTGATTGACAGGTACTTGATTAAATTATAGCTCCCATGTTCCTGCTGTCTTGGGCTCGTTGTGATTCAGTTTCTCGTTGCCTGGAGCAGATGACCTTTCGGGCCTTGTGAAACTTCCATAAAGCTTTGCTTACATACCTTGTCATGTTCTGCTTACGTGAATGCTCACGTGTGAGGCAGAAAGGAAAAGGTGAAGCCCCCACAGGACTCCTGAGCCATCTGAAGGCCTCCAGCCCATGTTGGGTCATTCATTCGTTCAGTGAAGTAAGCCCCCACTGGCACACTAAGCACTGGGCCACACAAACAGTGGGGAGAGGACACTGGAAACAGCCAGCTGCCTGTCCATGGTGGTGCCAAGGCTCTAGTGAGATGACGAACAAATATATATGAAGGGTCAGAGGTGCTGGGAGGGAGAAGGAGGAAGGAGGACATAAGACAGACGTTTACAGTCATTCTGAAGAGGTGACACTTCCAGACCTGAGGTGAGAAAGGGCCAGGAGCAGAGAGCCTAAGTCAGAGGCTAAATGACAGAGAAGCTCGATAGCTCTGGAGTCAGCAATTAGGGAAAACCAAGGAAAGCCAGTGTGGCCGCAACAGAGAGTTCAGGGAGGGAGGTGAGGAGAGACAGGTGGGCTGAAGCCAGACCCTGCAGGGCCTTGACCTGGGGTGAGTTTCAGCCCAAGTCCAGTGAGAGGTCACAAGGGGGCTTTAAGTAGACTACAGTCTGGCTTAGATGTGTAATGGATTGCACTGTTTTCTATGAGAAGGAAGGAGTCTAGGAGTGCAAGTGGGACGCCTTAGGCAGGCGAGAGGTAGTGGTGGCGTGAATTTAGGTAGAGAGTGGGGTGGAAGAGAGAAGTGGGAGGGTGGAGAGTGGAGGGTGGAAGTGAGGAAGGAGAAGGGATAGTCCAGTATGCCCTCCCCAGGTCTAGGTTTCATGATCTGGGGGAGGAAAGACTGGACTAAGGTAAGAAGCCCTGAGGGAGGAGCATGGAGGGTGGAGTAGACAGAGGGAGGAGCAGGGAGGATGGGGAAGACTGAGGAAAGAGTATGGAAGGCAGAGAGGACTGAGGGAGGAGCAGAGAGGGTAGGGAGGACTGATGAGGAACAAGATCGAGATTTGGATTTTAGCAGGTGAGCAGAAAGCCTTCCCCCGCCTCCAGACCCTGGTTTCCCTGTGGCGATAAGAAGCGTACCAAATAGTCTCCTTCAGGTGGGCCAGTCGTGCCTCCAGGCTGTGTGTTGCCACTCTATGAAGGACAGAACTGGAAGCCTTCCTGAAGAGCCTGGGAGTAGTCAGACATGGTGGCCCAAGCAACTGGCACACTCCTGCCAGTTTTCTTCTGGGGGACTCCTCCCAGGCAGGTAGAAGACAGCCCCTCCAGCAGGTCTCCCAGTGGACCCCAACAGCAGCCTGGCAGCTAGCCTTCTCTCGGGTCCCTGGAAGCTCTGTTCATTGCCTTCCTCCCCAAGACTCTATTAAACTGCCGTCTTCCTTCTGTCCCTGCTGGAATGTGCCAGGCAGCTCCTCGGCATGAGAACCCAGACCTCCAGCCCACCACGTCACTGACCCAGCCCAATATGGTGCCCTTGTGCAGATGAGAAAAGGGCAGCTGTTTCTAAAAATTGGCCTCTCACCAGAGCTCCCCTAGCGATAAGCTGACTATGAAATTGATTTTAGTCCCCATCTTTCATCAGCCAGATGTCCTTGTGCAGTGAACAACTTGCACAGCTATACTCAATGAATCTAGTTCTAAAAACGATTGAAATTAAGAGACTGTGGCTAGGGGCTGAAAGCATAGAGGAAAGAATTTTCCTGAACAACCAGCTGAAAAAGATTGAGCAGCTGACTTTAAACCCCAAGAGGGGTAGTTTGTGAGAGGAAGGCAGGGGTGATGCCAACCCAACGCTGAACCTTTGGATAACAGGTCTGAGAAAGGGGCCTGGTTCTACAGGCAAAGTTAAGAAAACTTATGGAAGATAAAAATCATGGAGGGTTAGAAGAAAGTCAACTACTCAGGCTGGATAAAATACCCGGAGGAGAAGGGCTGGCATGGCAAGGGATTGCTCATTAATGTACCAAAACTCATGGTGGCCTATTTCTTTAATTTTCTTTTTCTTTCCTTCCTTTCCTCCCTCCCTCCCTCCCTCCCTCCTTTTGGCCCTTTCCTTCCTTTCCTCCCTCCCTCCCTCCCTTTCTCTCCTCCCTCCCTCCCTCTCTTCCTTTCTCTTCTCCCTTCCTCTCCTTCCTTCCTTCCTTCCCTCTCTCTCTTTCTGACAATAGTGGGATTTTGAATTCAGGGCCTGAATACTAGGCAAGCGCTCTACCACTTGAGACACACATCCATCCCTTGCTGCTCTTTTGGTTATTTTTCAATATGTTTTTTACCTAGGCCAACCTTGGACCATGACCTTCCTACCTCGACCTCCCATTTAGCTGGGATTATAGACATGAACTGTCACACCCAGCTTGTTCTTTGAGATAGTTTCTTACTAACATTTTGCCCAGGCTGGTCTCAAACCTTGATCTCTGCCAAGTAGCTGGTATTACAGGCATGAGTCCCGGCTCTCATCTTGCGTCTATTTCATCTGTGGTATTTTTACCTTCAAATATTTGAAAAGGCTTTTGTAGAATAAAAAATAAAAATGCTATTTTGGTTGAGAAAACAGTCTGCGTTAGCCATGTCTGTGGGGTCTGTAGACTGCTCCTCTCCCCACCACCTGCATCATGATGCCATAAACAAAAAACTTCTGGATGCAAACCTATGAACTCTGCCCCTGCTGGCTGGGATGGGGCACCCTGGGTGGATTTCAGCAGGAGAGAGCCTGGGGAGAGGAGGAAGAGGCTGGGACCTGACCCTTGGCTGCTAGGGGAGAGGAGGGAAGAGAGTGGGGAGAGATTCCCTGATTTCTGGCTCCTGTCACCGGGTGGTGACTTTCAAGAGATGGAGACACCCTAGAACAGGATGGCACTGCTTTTTGAGCCACAATGAGTGGGAGGAGACTGAGAGAAAGTGGGGTGTCCCTCCCAGCACAGGATTAAAGTTCCTTGCCACTCCTCCTGCCCTCCAGACCCCTCCCCTAAAGAACACCCTCCCCTGAGAACACTTCTCAGGGTCCCATGATGATGGCTTTGTCATCTCCTCAAGAGCAGCTTTCTTTGAGGCCTAGGCCACAATCCCAGGGCTCTTGAAAGAGGCCACCCAGCCTTGAAGATGGCCCATTAAACTTTCCCTTCCCCTACCACCTAGGGCAGCCAGGGCTCCTGGGGACAGGATGCCCTTTGGTCAGTGATGGGAGCCCAGAAAGACTGGAGTCGGGTTGGCCTGGGTGGGTGTCCCAGGTAGCATCTTCCTTGCTGTAGGATCATGGACAAGTCACTTGAAAACTTTTAGCCTTACGAACCCCATCTTTTAGTGGGAAAATGGTAACTCCTGACCTCCAGCCTTAATGTGATTGTTCCCACTGCAGACTCACACATACAAAGCGTGCACAGCTGATGCTCAGACATTCAGGTGTAAGTCGCCCAGGCTTGTGGGCATAATTCATGGTGAAGCCAGGTGCCTGATGCCCCTAACAAGTGGAGCACCCCTAGCTTTAGTGTCCCGGCTTCAAGGTTGTGGATTTGGGTCTTGTCCCTGCCTGGGGCAAGGTGTCCCCAGATCCTCAGTGGGAGTTGCATCCTCAGGGTCCCCAGTGAGCCTCTTAGAACAGGGGCTGAGGCAAGGCCTGAGGTTTGGTGAATGGTTGGGTGAAGAGCTCCAGGCTAGGCACACTCCAGCTGCAAAGGCATAAGTAGAGAGGGTTGAGTGGGACAGCTGGAGCCTGTCCTGCCCTGGGAGCCTCCTGTGGCAGTATGGTGTGGAGGCCCGGGCAGCAAAGAGGCTGCTGAGGCTGGAAATGTGTCCAGCCCAATGTTCCTTTCTCAGAAAAGTCTTGCCTGCCTTTCCCCAGGCCAGCTGGAAACAGAGCCAGCCCTAGCTGCTGCTCCCTGGCTGTCCTCCCCTGTCCCCAGCTGCTGGCTGCTCACACATAAAGCAGGGATGCCAGGAGGATTTGCAGAGATCAAATCCAGAATCTACCTAGCATGTTCCAGGCACACCACAAAGTCTGGAAAGTACACACCCTTGCACAGTGGCACCCCACCCCTGAGCTCACAGAACAGCATCTCTGTATCTGGAGATGGAAGCAAATCCTTAGGTTTATGTAGGATGACATGACGAGAGCAGCTCTACCCTGCCCTTTGTTGTTTGTGGCCTTGGGCGAGTGACTAACCTCTTGGAGTCAGGTGACACCTGACTTGGTGGTGTCAGGTGTCACCACCCTGACACCTGAAAAGTTCTCAAAATTTGTGATGAAGGTGGTATGATGATGCTGATAATAGCAGCAGTGCTGGTGGCAGTGCCGGTGATGATGTCTACTGGTTGTGACGGTTGTGACGATGGTGGCGATGGTGACAGTGATAATAGTGCAGCTAATGTTGTTGCTGATGCTGAATGAGTCCTAGGATGGGGGCTGTCATATCGCTTATCAGTTGTCTGTTTAACCCCTCCCCTCCCTCTGACAAAGGACACCTTCTCAGGAGCCTCTGTACAACCCCCTATCTCACATATCCTTTCCATCCTGTCCCTTTGGGCAGCCCTGAGCCTCCAAGGACAGCACAGGGTACAGCTAACCTGGAGTCCCAGTCTCAGTTAGTTTAGCCCCAAACCCCGCCTTGCTGTTCTGCTTGACCCACTCACACATTTCACCTAGGCAGCTTTCTCAGCCAGGAGCTTCTTCTCCACCATGTGGATTTCAAACCTACACCTTCATCAGGTGTCCTCTAAACCACACCTCTGGTCCCTCTCCAGCAGCACATCTGAGCCCCACCAGATGTGGGAGGAAGCCCAGCCCCACAAGCCCAGGCAGGCCCAGTTGTGACCCAGTGACAAAGTCAGGGATTATTCTGTGACAAGGATCCAGGCTGAGTCTCTGACAAGAGTTTATACTGCACCTGAGATCAGGTTGAGTCCATGACCTGGGTAGGGTTGAGCCTAGGAATCTCTACTCTGAATCTGTTGTCTGTGCAGAAGGGTCCCCAGAAGTCCCACAGTGGCTTCTCCCTTTCTCTGGGTCAGGGCAGGTGACAGCATCAGGGGCCAGGTGGCACTAGGGCTAAATTCTCTGTCCTATGCCCAGTACTGTGACAGCCAGGACCATGGACTCCTCCAGGGACAGACCCTCTTCTCAACCTCAGCCTCTCTCCTCCTGGTCCCATTCCCCACGCAGGCCGCAATGTGAGCCGCAGCTGCACTGAGGAAGGCTGGACACAACTGGAGCCTGGCCCCTACCCTGTTGCCTGTGGCCTGGATGACAAGGCAGCAAGTCTGGATGAGGTGGGTCTGAGAATGCTCACTCCACCCAGAGCACCCCAGCCTGCCCAGATGACTTTCGCCCTCTCCTGCCAAGGGCTGAGGTTTCTCTGTGCAGAAGCTAGGACGGCTGGGTCTGCCCTCCTGAAGCCACTTGCCTCTCCAGGTCTGCATCTCTGGAGGTTCATCTGACCCTCCTAAAAGAATGCAGAGGGGATGTTCATGAGGCTTACACAGGAGGGCATCCTCAGAGCACCAAATGCTGAAGCAACACCCCCAGCTGGGCCACCCCACTGCCTTGTGGGAGCCTCACTGTAGCTGGAGGTGGCAGGAAGATCCCACCACCCCTATCCCACCTGAAGGGGAAACTGAGGTGCAGATCCCAAAATGAACCAGCCCCAGATACAGCAAGTCAGGGGCAGGGACAGGAGCAGGGCCTGTTGTCCTCAGTCCTAGAGCAGATAGAGCACAGGTAGTCTCTGTAAGGATTGAGGAGGCTAGAATTTAATTAGGGTCCTCAGCCAGGAGTCCCTCACTGTTTTGGGGTGCAAACACACATGTGTCTCTATCATGACAACTGCCCTACCTCCAGACACTTTTCTCAGACAAGTCTCTCCCTCCTCCCAAGGGAGCAGTGATTTCCTCAGAGGCCTTGGAAGCCACCAGGCACTTTAGGCCCTAATTCCCCTAAATCAAGCAGAATAGGTTTGGAGCTAGTGATTGTTGCTCTGCATATGTGTCCATGGGGAGGGGACCAAAAAAGAAGCCTTTGGGGCCAGTGTTATCCTACCTCCTAGAAAAGTCAGATTTCCTCTGGCCTCAGCCCCTAAAGAGGCCAAATGGGAGATTAGCCCTGTGTGCCTTCCCTAGCCATAGAGAGAGGACCTCGTGTGGGGTCTAAAAGGCCAGCAGTCTTAGTCCCCTAGAGTGCTGAGCCCAGAGTTGGCACAGAAGGGGTGCCAGACACAAGGTGAAAAAGAATGAATGAACAAGTGGAATGTGTAACGTCTTCACTGTTTTCCCCACTGACATATTCCTCATGAAGAAGCAGAGAGAGGGAAAGAAAGGCTTCAACCCCCACCCCACCCTGGGACACAGCTCTGTCCTGTCTGAGGAAACTGGAGTGTTGGGGTGCCCGGAGTCTGAAGGGTACCCCTCAACTTCTCTCGGGAGCCCTGAACCACAGTCTCCTCATGTGAGGCGGGGTCAGCAGGCAGAATATGTCGCTGCCCTGTCCCCGCCAACAGCCTCAAGGTGACCCTACCCCACCCCTCCCACCACCATCCTCACCCACCTTCCTCCAGCAGCAGCAGACAATGTTCTACCATTCTGTGAAGACTGGCTACACTATTGGCTACAGCCTCTCCCTCACCACCCTTCTGGTTGCCATGGCTATCTTAAGTCTGTCCAGGTAAGACCCAGCCTGGGCAACAGGCTGACACCAAGTGACACCAAACCTGTCTGGTGTCACTCCCATGGTTGGACTCAGCTTGGCCCATGCACGCCCTGCCCCAGCCCCCTACCAGGCTGGGGCAGGGCATGCATGGTGCCCTGGAGGTGGGACCCTGGAGGTGGGACCCACATTTGGGGATGGGACCCTCTTCAAGGCGGGGCATGTTCCCCTGCCCCCTTGCTCAGAGCACAGGGCCATATTTGCTAGGGTGGGGGTACAAGGCCTCTTCTGCCTCCCAGATGTGCCTGTCCCATGCAGGAAGCTCCACTGTACCCGGAACTATATCCACATGCACCTCTTCATGTCCTTCATCCTGAGGGCATCCGCTGTCTTCATCAAAGACTTGACCCTCTTCCACAGCGGGGAGTCGGACCACTGCGCTGAGGGCTCGGTGAGGAGCCCCTTCAGGTCATACCAACTGAATACCCAGACCTCCTTGATTGCCCTGCTCTGGGGTATTCCCAACTCCTCTGTTGTCCTCACCTGCCTGGGGACCCCATTCTTCTGCCAGCTACTTGGATTCCCAACAGGAATGGTCACTATCCCCTCTCAGCCTTTTCCTCATTTCTTCTTCTCAGTCCCAGTCTGTCCTCTATACTTCCACAATCCCAGCCCACACCTCCACAAAGTCAGTGCACTCTTGCAAACCCAAACAAGAGTTCACCCTCATACTTCTTCAGCTCCCTCCAATCCTAATTACAATGAGATGAATGAGTGGGTTGGGTTTGTTAAGTAGATGGGCAGGGTGGTGGATGGTGGATTAAATGGGCGTAAGGATGGCTGAGTAGACAGAAAAACGTATAAAGTAAGGAAGACTGGACGGTTAATGAGTAGAGGGAACAGTGAGTAGACAGAAGAATGAATGGGTGGATAGGTGAATGGATGGATAGGCGGCTAGTGGGCGGGTTGGCAGATGAATGGAGAGATAAATGAGTGGGTGGATGGGTTGATAGATGGGAAGATGAATAGATGATGAATGGATGCATGGATAAGATGAATAGATGGGTGAGTTGGGAAGATGTCTAGTGGGTGGGTGAGTAAATAAATGGATAAATGGATAGTGTTGGGGGGTGGATGGTTAGATGGACAGATGGGTAGATAGATGGAAAGGTACATGGATGATGAACTGGTAAATGGGTAACTAAAATTACCAGCTTATTTCAAAGCATCAGATTATCAAAAATCAGGGATGATGGAAAAACTCAGTGGGTTTATTATGGAGACAATGCAGAAAAACAAAGAGATTAAGCTGGCTGTACCACAACTGTGTTTGTCCCCCCAGCCAGAGGTATGAGCAGTCAGGGATCGTTTCTAGTCCCAGTGAGCCTCCTCTTTGCTCCTTCCCCTACAGGTGGGCTGTAAGGCAGCAGTGGTCTTTTTCCAGTACTGTGTCATGGCCAACTTCTTCTGGCTGCTGGTGGAAGGCCTCTACCTGCACACCCTTCTTGCCGTCTCCTTCTTCTCCGAGCGGAAGTACTTCTGGGGGTACATACTCATCGGCTGGGGTATGGTACCAGGGAGGGCTGCCAGGCTGGGAAGAGGGGGTGAGGCCTGGGGAACACACTGGTGGGAGGGTGCCAACTCAGCTTGCAGTCTTAAGTCCTGCCTATATGGACCTCAACCAGTGCACCAAAGGTTATAAAAGTCCCTGGAATGTCTGACCCTGGGGCAGGATCCCTCAGACTATAGCTGCACCTAGGGCTTCTCTATGAGACAGACCCTGTGAACAGCTTTCAGCCCTGACACACAGGGAGCCACTGTGATCTATAAGGTGCCTCTGTCAAAAATCAGAAAAGACTACTCCCTAGTGGACACAGCCCCTCAGGCTTATAGCCTCACCATCTCAGTGGAGTGTCTTTGCAGTTAGCAACCTATACAACCATAGGTGGCAGCCCTGAAAAGACACCCTTTTCTCTCTCCCTCCCTCTCTCTGGTTCTTTCTCCTAAATCCCTCTCTCATGCCCCCTACCCTGCTTCCTGTACCCTTTCCTCTCTTTCTCTCTCCTTTGGGCCTGATAGGAGTACCCAGCACCTTCATCATGGTGTGGACCATCATCAGGATCTATTTTGAAGATTATGGGTGAGCTGCCACCCCACCCCTTGCCCCTGCCTGCCATCACTTGGGCTCCCTTGGGTTGGATGATGACACCACCCAGACTTGGCAGGTGGACAGACCACAGCACTTGGTCCAGAGAGGGAGGTTGGAGGGAAACCTGGGAGTAACGGGCTCTGGGCCCATGGGTTCTAAAGGCTGAGGGGTAGAGCTGGAACAACTTCAAGGCTGCTGACTCCAGGGCTGAGGACAATGTCTTTCTCCCCAACCATATTCTTCACAGATGCTGGGACACCATCAACTCCTCATTGTGGTGGATCATAAAGGCCCCCATCCTCACCTCTATCTTGGTAAGGCCTCCTCCCACTTGGAGGTTCAGTTTGGGTGGGCAGCTAAACTCAGGTCACACAGAAAAGTGGTGCCCAGGTCAGAAGCAAACCCTAGGCTTGCCAGTGCCTCATCTCCACGCAACTGGTCCCTCCTCCAGAGTAAATGAATTGGGAGGCATAGTCCCTAGGGATGCAAAGTAGAGTTCCAGGTGACCTGCCCACAGAGAGAAGAGCTAGTGAGAGATAATGTGGAGGGGAAGAAAGACCCTGGGGAAGAAGACAGGCCATCAGCCCAGGGGACTAACACCTCCCCTCTCTGAGTGACCATCCGTGGGGGTCTCCACCTACTAGGTGAACTTCATCCTGTTTATCTGCATCATCCGAATCCTTGTTCAGAAACTGAGGCCTCCAGATATTGGAAAGAATGACAGCAGCCCATACTCGTGAGTATGACCCAGTGCCCTGGCCTCCCACACCTCCATCTCCAGTCCTCAAACCACCCCGCGCCTGAACCTCCAGAATCACAAAGAAGCCATGTTTCTCCAGCCCACCTCCACTCCATGCCTTGGCTTAGCCACCCAAATTGTCTCTCACCAGACTGTCTTCAGAATCCCCATGTCTACTTACTCCTGCACACATTTACCTGGCATCCTTCCCAGGTATGCACCCATCTGCTGCCCAGCTAGGGAGTTCCCGAGGGCAGAGATAACCTGTGTCTTGTTTCATACTATGTGCCCAGTCCCTGGCCTGTGCCTGGTTCAGAAAAGGGGTTCGATAAATGCACAGCAGTTGAATGCCCTGGGGGAGCCCCCAGTCTACCTATGAGACAGCCTTTTCCAATATTCCCCACTGTCTCCTAATAATGACACCTGTATGCTAGGTGTATGCTAAGGACTGTTCATGCTTCATATCAGTTCATCCACAAGGTCCCCTGTAAAATGGTCCCATTATATAGAAAGGACAGGCACACACACCCTCCTCCTCCCCAAGTTTGGGAGTACATGGTCATGGGCAGGGAGAAGGAACTACAGTGTCCATTGGACAGTGATTGGAAAGGAGTGACTATGCCCTATGCCTGGGAGAGTGAAGGAAGAGGTAGGTTTAATGGGAGCAACAGAGCTTATAGGCATAAAAGGTGGAAAGGAAGCCTATAAGAAGGTGAGCAAGGTCTCAGTGTCCACAAATGGGAAAAGGAGATCGAGCTTCTCTGCTGGGCAGACAAGACAAACCCAGCAGTCCCACAAGGGCTTCCGGTCCTGGGATCCTAGAATGTTCCCGGCCTGGCTTCTCTTTGGGAAGTCTAAGCTGTGGTTCCAAGATTCCTGGCTAGAATGTCACGAGCTGCTGGATTTAGGATTCTATTCTGGAATTGTGTGACTCTCTCTAATGAGACTAAAACTCACATTCTTGGTGTGACAGCATTCTCTCCTGCTTGCAGGGTGTGTGGGCAAAGTTTCTCTTCCTGTCAAGAAGAAAAGGCCCCCAGGGTCTGCTGAGGCACAGCACATCAAGCCTATGCACCCTTTGCCCAAGTGGCCTTGTTTCCCCCAAAGCACATGGCTTAAGTGGGCTGGAATCTGAGGGCAAGAATCCAAGCTGGTCATGGCCAGGCCTGTGTGGGTGAGATGGGAAAGGAACAGCTGTCAGCAGGCAGAAGGAGTGGCAGGAGCTGGAGATGGTGCCCCCCAAGGAGGGACTGTCAGCTCCCACTCTTCAATTTAAAGAAAGCCTCCATCTGCCAGCCTCCATGCGTGGGATAGGTTTGTGGCCAAGAAGAGGTGGGCAGTGCTCAGTCAGGATCCTGGCATGGCCAAGAGCCAAGCCTAGGAAGGAGTGGGAGGAGCAAGGCCAGCAACTCTGCTGGAGCTTGTGGTGGGACCTCCCTGGCCAGACTGCCTGGGCAAGACAGATAGGGGCAGAGACACCCCCCCACCCCAGTCAACCTCCCTCAGACCCGTCCCAGCCAGGGAACCATGACTCAAGCCTGAACAAACTGTGAGGTCAGCTAACCAGGAGGCCTAAGCCAGGGTGAACCTGTGCCATGGGACAGAGGAGAGCATTTAGAGTGAATGCTGACCTGCCGAGCACCAAGGCTGGCCAAGGAAGCTGGGAACATTTTAGGAATGTGTACATTGGTGTGGGGAGGTGGGGGAGAGGGATTTGGGAGAAATTGACAACTCCCAGAGAAGTGGACACTAAACCAGAGTTCTAGGCCAGGGGCCCAAATCCAGGGGCGCCATATGTCAATTCTGGCTGTTCACCCAATGCATGAAATGGTGAAGGGCAGAGAAAGGAGGTTTATTACACAATACAGGCATGTCTTGAGAAGAGGCAAAGCAAGCACTTCAGCCTATCTTCAGGGTTCAGACATGAACTTTAGATTTAGAGGAAGAATTAGGGTGGGGGAGAGACGTACGGATAAATTAAACAGTCCCAGACAAAATGTGGCCCGGTTGATTATCTTAGTTCCGGTTCTGTGAGGGGTTCCAGAGTTGTTATCCCTGTCATCACTTGAGGGGAGCAATCTGGTCCCTATGAGATGATTGCTCCTGCTCTAGGGTGCAGCCTTATCATTATAGGTAATTGTCCTCATTTGGGGGGTGGCACTGTTCTTCCTTGGGGACAGTTTTGGTATGATAAGATAATATCATAGAGATGTTATTGATCAGTCTTTATCTTTCCTGGAACCCAGGTGATTGCAGAAGAGAGACTCAGAGTAAAGGAGACAGATATAAATGGAGGCAGGAATGCCAGGCTTTTCTCCTGCTTTCAGTTAACTTGTGGGCCAAGTATGGAGTCAGTGCTTTTTAGCAAAAGCAGTTTCTAAGTACCTGTTATAGACCGCAGAAAAACCAAAGCCAGGGAGCTGTACTGATTAACCAGGCATAAACTTGGACACTCATCATCCTCCCAAGCGGCCTTGGACACGTGTGGTGGGCATCATAGCTGGAAAGACTTCTTTCTCAGAAGTCCGTACTCCCAAAAGCAATAGGCCTCTCATGGATGCATCAGACTAAACAGCACCCAGAACACTTCTGAGTTTATAGTGAGCCACATCTCTGTAAATCAACTATGTTGAGCATTTACTGCATTATACAGATAGGGGAAACTAAGGCCAGCAAAGAGGGTATCAAAATCTCATCCCTGAGAACTACCCAGTAGCTAAAATTCCATTGCTCGGCCTCGCTGGCCTTGCCTTTGTACTCTCTCCTTCAAAAGAGTGAGAGTAGAGGGAGGTTTTTGTCTCATGCTGTCCTTCAGATTAGGTGACCAAGGATGAGATGACAGTGGCCCTGAAGATATGGGTCAGAAGCATACATGGGCATGATATGTGGGGGAGCCAGTCATCTATTCTCACACATCCTGGTCATTTTCTGCATCCTGAGTGCTCCCAGCTACCCCCACATCAGACCCTATGGTGTCCACAGGAACACACCACAGCCTGTCCTCTCTGTCCCCAGGAGGCTGGCCAAGTCCACACTCCTGCTGATTCCCCTGTTTGGAGTTCACTACATCATGTTCGCCTTCTTCCCCGACAACTTCAAGGCAGAAGTGAAAATGGTCTTTGAGCTTGTCGTGGGGTCTTTTCAGGTATGAGCTGTTGACCTTGGGCTGTGCTCTTCTCCGGCCTTTAGGGAATTCAACCTAGGGCCAGTCTTGGTCCCTGGCTACTGCATTCCAGTCTTCCCACTGTCATAAGTATTGATTGACCATCTACATCATTCTAAGCCCTTTCCTTAACCAGTGGAACACAAGGGCTGCATGGGGTCAGGGATAGGGAGGAGCTGGGAGCTGCTGGTGTCTGTCTGTCTACCTCACTTCTCCTGTCCCCTTCTTCCCCAGGGTTTTGTGGTTGCCATCCTCTACTGCTTCCTCAATGGTGAGGTAAGGTCCTCCCAGACCTTGGTGGCCAGGGAACAGAATTCCCAGGCCCAGGCTCCAGAAACACTGATGGGATGTGTTCAAGTATGGTCCTCAGACTAGTAGTCTGTGAGACCACCAGACCTGCTGACATAGAACCTGCATTTCAATAACACTCTGGGGAGGGGGCGGGGATTCCTGTGCTCATCAGAAATAGAGAAACATCTAGTTGAGTGGCTGTGTGCAGACTGGAGTTGGAGGCTGGGGCAGCAAGTGGAGGTGGAGTTGCTGTGGAGCCCTGGTTACAAACCACAAACATCTACGCAGATGAGCTCAAGTGAGCTGGAGTGCCCAGATGGGAGGAATCCTGGTACAGCACCCCCAGGCGGCATCCCTCCCCTCCCGCACCCTGGACTCCATTCTGTGATCCTTTGCTTCCCACCTCCCCGCCTCCACTCCAAGGTCCTGATTTGACCCTGACCCCAACCCTGTCCTAACTGCATCTGGGGCTCTTAATTTAGACTTTCAGAGAGGACCTGACTGGCTGGCTCAGCACCCTAGGGAGCAGCGCAATCAGTGGTGCAGGAGGCTCCACAGCGGGGTGGGCGGGGTCGGGGGTGCTGGGGGGGAGGCTGACCACCTTCCCCCTCTCCTAGGTGCAGGCAGAGCTTCGTCGGAAGTGGCGGCGCTGGCACCTGCAGGGCGTACTGGGCTGGCCCTCCAAGCACCAGCACCCGTGGGGAGGCAGCAACGGTGCCACATGCAGCACGCAAGTCTCCATGCTGACCCGCGTCAGCCCCAGCGCGCGCCGCTCCTCCAGCTTTCAGGCAGAAGTCTCCTTGGTTTGACCACCAGGGACCCAAGGTGGCCCCTTCGCACCCGCCCAGCCGGCACCGGGAGTAGAGAGCTGCCCTGGCTTGCCTTGTTCGGATACTTGCACCTGCCTGGAGTGCTTCTATGCAAGCTGGAGAGCTGGGAGATCCCTCCCTGGAGGTTGCATGGTGGGAACTGTAGTCAGGCTCCTCCTGCAAAGGACCCGCTGCCACTCATGGGCAGGAAATCGGCATACTCCTGACTCTGCCCCCCACATATCTTCTAACCAATCGGAGGAAAGCAATCGCCCATCCTCAAAGGGTTTGTGCTCTGAGGGCCGAAAGGTACTGTCCTGAAAGATCACCCACCACCACAACCCTGATGGTGCCTGAAATTCCACCATTGCCGTCACGTTTGTGGGGGTGGGGGGTATTAATCATTCCATTCTGGCATCTCCCTGGGGATGTGGTCTGCTCCCCCATGTCCTGCTCTTATCTGCCAGCTCCTCCAGATGAGTGAGTTTCTCTACCTCGGGCAGATAAGGTTGTGATTTGGAGTTTTGGTTGGGGGAGAACGACTGTCTTTGCAATCGCCCCTGAATTGGAGTGGTTCCAGTGTCTGTCCAGTAATGGAACAATGCAATCCAAGGACTGAGGAGCTCCAGGGCCTCTGGGAAGTGAGGAGATGGCCCGCCAATGCTGGAGCCTCAGACTAAGCCTACCTGCTCCCCAAGCCCCAGTGGCTTTTCTCACACCAGCCTTACACACAACCAAAGCAATCAAGAGCTGCCCTTCTTGGCTGCCCACCTACGTGCCAACTATTTTAACTAGGCTCGAAGATGTGTACCCATGGGCCCCTTAACCCTCACATGATCCTGGCAAGGCAGGAATTACTATCCCGGTTTCACAGATAGGGAAACTGAGTCAGAGAGAGCAGCTATCTTGCCCTGTCATACAGATAGGATTTGCACTCAGATATGGCTTATGGAAAATGAAAATAGACTCTTTCTCTGTTACCTTTTTATATAGTGCAATCAGCTGGATTCTCTTTTTTTTTTTTTTTGATAACCACTGAGATTGTTATTTCCACTATTCCTGCTTTCCTATGCCTACCCCACCCTCCTCCCTGGAGTCCTCCAGCCCACGTGTGTGATACTGCACAAAAAGCTCGTGGCCATAGCATCCCATATCTGCCATTCACCCCTGTGGCCACACAGTTTCCTATCCAAGCCACTGCAGAAAATCTCCTCAGGACCTTAACAGGTCTGCAACAATAAATGCTGGCTTGGATTTGCTTAGCTCCCCTGGCAGATGTTTTCCGTAGCTTTCTATTTACAGCTGTCTCCCTCCTATTCCAACAAAGGATAGTCCAAAACATTGCTAAAAGATAGATGCCACCACCCCTCTGGCAGGGATTCCACATTTCCATGTGAGGATTACAAACTCTGAGAGCCTTCAACTCATATCCTTTTGAGTTGTATCCTCTCTTCCGAGCGTGATGGAGTTACAACAGGTTCCATTGTGACCCTTGCCTCTTAAGTCCAGTCAAGAGGAGACCGTTATAGTCTTGAACCAAATCAAAACAGCTAAAGGAGCTGCTTATGGTCCTGGAAATGTCTAAGTTTCACAGGTTACGATCATTCCAGAATTCATGGAGGAAATGGGGACTATAATGACCATGTCACCATTGGTTCAGCCAAGAGGTACAGGTAGAGGACAGCACAAATCAGTGTGCAGACACAATGTGACTAACAGAAAGGTTGAGACACAGAGACAGTGTAGCAAAGCAGAGAATGGCAGTCAGTAAGAGATATCTCCCAGGCTGTTGCCCAAACTGACCTCTTTGGGGCCATCCTCCACAAACTTGCAAGTTTGTCTTGCAGGAGGAGCTGGATGCCAAGTGATAAAAAGAGGTTAGAATGGCTGGTTAAGGCTCAGGTCTGCCTGCAAGGCTCCTTCAAAGCCATGTCATAGTACCATCCCAGGGCCCATCACCAAATGATAGATCTGGGACCCCATGGACTGCTTGAGTTGTGTGAAGCCCAGGAGGGACCCCATGCTAAGCCAGAGCTGGCCCACCCCCACAATTCCTGAGATCTTTCCATGTGGCTTCAAGGTAAGGCAGAGAGCCCTGGAGAAGGGAGCAGTTGTCAGCCAAGAGAGTAAACAAAGCAGAGACACAAGATATGGGCAACAAAAGGGAAGACAGAAATGGGGTCCTACTTAGAAGTGACAGGAGGTGAAAAACTCAAGGATGGGCATTTAGGGAAAGGGAGAAGCTTAAAGTTTGGGGCAAGAGAACATAGAACAGGCAACCCAGGCTGGTCAGAGCCTTAGAATCAGGGTGACCATGGCTCATAGTCCTCTCCCCCAGATCATCTCTATCGCCACCTGGTGGCTGCTTCAAGGAGTTCATCAACATTGGGCTTAGAGCTCAACATCCCCATGCAGGTCCCTCCTGGGGAGATCAAGTGATACAGAAGACAGGCCTCTCTTCTGAGCTCCATTCAGAGTGAGATACAAAAGAAGGAGGAGTTGGTGAGTCCAAAGGTCTGGTTCCAGAGGTAGCAAGGATTAAGGAAACCCAGGACCCTCAGACCAGCCCCTATAGATACTGCACATGAGCCCTGACTCAGACCCAGCTGTAATCCCAGGTAGAGCCACGCCTCTGCTGACCATAGGGAAGACCCAGGCCTTGGCCTGAGCCCGGTTCCCAAGGATAAATCCCAGTTAATTCGGGTGGGCAATTTCTGAGAAGCCAAGGATAAGGAGCCCTGACATCCCAGCCCAGAAAGCCCCCATTTCTTCTGTGGGAGAGGCCACCATGTGGGCAGTTCCTACCATTCTAGGACACAGTCTGCCCAGGGACAGTAGCTAGTCTGCCAGCCAAAAGGGTACAGGATAGTTTCTCAGCTGAAGTGACATTGAGGTGGTCTCTAAGGACTAGGTAAGGGTCCCAAACATGTTGGGTTCCAGAAACGACTGAATTCAGGTGAGCAGGGCCTTTTCCAGCAGGAACAAAGAAGTGACTTCTAAAATGAGGCTGCAGAATGATGGGGGTTTGGGGCAGGCTACTGATAAGGGCTCGGGGGAACACCTGGGAAAGGGTGCCAACCCATCAGTCAGGTAGGGGAGGTGGAGGATGGTTGGGGAGACAGTGACCTGGCTTGGGACATGCTGAGTATAGTGTCTGGGGACATCTGGAGAAAAGCTCCCCCAAGGTTGTTAGAATCAGGATCTAAAATGACAAAGCTCAGGCAGAGTATGAAGAGGGTGGAAAGATGGGGGCAGTTTCTGTGGGGGAACAATGTGCAGGAGTGTGTATCCTTGGGCCCCTACTGGGTGTACTGGGCAGGAGTGAGGTGAGGAGTCACTCCCACTGGCACTCAGGGCCTGTTTTAATGAGCAATGGCTCAGCCTCCCCCTTCTCTCCCCATGTGGGAACAGGAACTGCCCTTATCTCTCCGGGGAAGGGGGCCAGAGCCACAGCTGGTAGTCATTAAACACCCTGCTCAGGCCAGGGATGGCTGAGATATTAATAGCCAGGAGTCAATGGCCCTGGAGACATGGCCTCCCAGGAAGAGGGACAGTAACCCCTGTAGGTTATGGGATGAAGAGGACGGGTCAGGAAGCCATTTTGGAAATACCCCAGCCTCCACACAGGGCAGATGGGGTAACCAAAGGCCAGAGAATATGAGTGATTGGCTTGGTGTTTTAGTCAGTTTTTCATAACTGTGACAAAATGCCTGAGCAAAAAAAAAGGAGGAAAGATGGCTTACAGTTTCAAAGGTTTCAGTCCTAGGTCAGCTGCTCCATTGCTTTTAGGCCTGTGGCAAGGACAAAACATCATGGTGGAAGGGTGTGGTTGAGGAAAACTGCTCACCTCATGGCAGCAGGAAGGGGGGAGGGAGAGAGACACAGAAGGAAGGAGGGAAGGGGCCAGAGGTAAGATACACCATTCAAAGGCATGCCTCTAGTGACCTTCCTCCAACTGAGCCCCACCTCCTGACATTCAGCTATGAACTCATGAATGGACTATTCCATTGACATATAAGCCTTTTGGAGGAAAAACTTCATATTATATCCAAACCTTAACACTTGGGATCACCAGTAATATTATTGGTAGAGCTTGACTTTGAACCCAGTTCTTCAAATTCCAGAGCCCTGACTCTTCCATTACATGGATTATATGATGAGTTCATTGTAGGGTGCCCTGTGCAGAAACACAGGAAGAATAGATTGAGTTTAATGACACTAACTCTGTATTTAAAATCTTGGCATTTTGTTCATCATGTATTTTTGCATTAATTTGATTTTTAAATACTGCATTAAAATATTATTTACCTTAATTACTGAGTGGTTGTTTAATCTACCTTCTGACACTCTGCACCCTCAGCAAGTGCCTTACTTGCTTCAACCTAATTCCAATCCAGCTTCCATGGGTCCCACCATCCCTGAGTTACAGGATGTCAGCATGGAAGAAACTCTAGAAACTCTAGTTCTGGACCAGCCTTTAAGCTACATAGGGAAAGGATCTTTCCAGGGTATTGCCAACTAGAGGTAGGCAGCTCCAAAGTTAATTTAGCACCTCAATAATGTCATCATAGAATTAGGTGCTTTCTATCTCTCCACTTTGCCATTCTCAGACTGAAAGATGGTTCTCACTGCCCCCAGCATCATGTGCTCATAGAACCCTATCCACTGGCAGGGAGGAGAATTTCTCCTTTTATCAGGGAAGATAACCTATCCAGGACCCACCTTCTGCACACTCTGTTCAGGCCTAGATTAGGTTATATGCTTAAATCCCAGCTGCAAGAATGGCCAGGCTGCCATAAAGGAAGAAGCAGGGTGGCTGTTGTACAGGAAAACAGCAGAGTCTTGCTCTCAGTTTCTTTCTGATTATTTTTATTTTGGGGGGCAGTACTGGTGTTTGAAGTCAGGGCCTCATGCTTGCTAGGCAAGCACTCTACCACTTGAGTCACCCCTCCAGCCGCAGTCTTTCTGGATGTCTCTGGGTAAATTGGTGATCTTTGAATACCCTTCACCTGAGTCTGCTGGGTAGTGTATGATGGCGGTGAAGAAGCCAAATCAGTCATGGGAGTCAG